TTTGATCATTTAAAAAATTTAAAAAAAAAATTTTTTTTCGTTAAATTTAGTTGAAGGAAAAATTATTTATCAGGATGGTACGATTTACTAAATTCACTAAGTTATCCAAGATTGTGGACCACTTTTCCTACTTTCACCTGTAGAAACTAACTTACTCTTCTCTTTTCATAAAATTTCATTCCAGGGAATGCGTCTGGAAATCAAGGTTAATTTTAAGTTTGGTTTTCGTAGCTTAAATTGAAAAGTGCAAAGTACATATCTAGTGACTCTTTAATTGGTATTATTACAGCGCAAATTATTTGCCCGTTCAGATCGCGTAAAATGTATAGATTTCCATCCGACAGAACCATGGTTACTTGCAAGTTTATATAATGGTAATGTATACATTTGGAATTATGAAACACAGGTAATGAATTAATAATTTTTAACACTTTCTAAGAGAGATTAAAGTGTCAAATGAGCAAAAAAATTGATTTAAAAAATTAGTTGATAAAAAATTTTACGCGATTTGCATCGTGATTATGAATTGTCTTTTAAATTTCGTTTCGAAATATTTAGGCTCTGGTAAAAACTTTTGAGGTTACGGACGTGCCTGGTAATTTTTAAATAATGTTATCCGTTTTTATGTTAAATTTTATTTAATATTTTTGTTGAACATTTTTATATATAGTTCGTGCTGCCAAATTTATCGCTCGCAAGAATTGGTTAATTACCGGATCTGATGATATGCAAATACGGGTTTTTAATTATAATACACACGAAAAAATTACAACATTCGAGGCTCATCCTGATTATATTCGATGCATTGCAATACATCCTACTCAACCTTTTGTCTTGACCGGTTCAGATGATATGACAGTTAAATTATGGGATTGGGAGAAAGGATGGAAGAATATTCAGGTTTTCCCCTTATTTATGACTTGAATTTATTTTTTATTTAAATATAATATATATGCAAAACTTCAAAGCATCACTTTTTAAATAATTTTAGATATTTGAAGGACATACGCATTATGTCATGAACATTAATTTTAATCCCAAAGACTCGAATACATTTGCTTCAGCTTGTTTGGATCGTACAATTAAAGTATGGTCTATTGGTTCCACTGTAGCGAATTTCACACTTGAGGGTCATGAAAAAGGAGTGAATTGGGTTGAATATTATCATGGTGGCGAAAAACCATATCTAGTATCCGCTGCTGATGATAAGCTTGTTAAGATTTGGGATTATCAAAACAAAACCTGTGTTCAAACTTTAGAAGGACACACTCAAAATGCCGCATTTGCATGTTTTCATCCGGAACTACCTATTATTATTTCTGGTAGTGAAGATGGCACAGTTAAAATTTGGCATTCAAATACATATCGTCTAGAGAACACTTTAAACTATGGTTTAGAACGCGCTTGGACTGTTGCCTACCAAAAAGGAAATAATAATGTCGCGTTCGGATATGATGAAGGAGCTGTTTGCGTCAAGGTTGATAACTTTTAAGGTCTTTTTTTTTTTTTTAAGAAAAAAAAATAGTTAAAATTCTCTATTAAATTTATCGATCGCTAAAATGAGATTATTTTATTCTTAGTTAGGACGTGAAGAACCGGCTGTCAGTATGGATAATTCTGGAAAAATAATTTGGGCAAAACATAATGAAATTCAAACAGCTAATATCAAAGCTGGTCATGGTATATGTCAAAAGCTCTTGGTATTAACAGTAATTATTTGACATTTACTTATAAATATTTAATTAAATGTTTCTTTGATAGATGATAACATTAAGGATGGTGATCGTTTACCTTTACCTATCAAAGATTTGGGTAGTTGTGAAGTGTACCCTCAAACATTGCAACATAGTCCTAATGGAAGGTAACTAAATACGCTGATTTCTTTTATGGAGAATATATTAAAATCCTCTTATTATCAATTATAGATTTGTTGTTGTATGTGGTGACGGTGAATACATCATTTACACAGCACTTGCTTGGAGGAACAAAGGGTTTGGTAATGGTCTTGAATTTGTGTGGGCATTGGACTCAAATGAGTAAGATTATTTTTATAATTTTGTGGATGGAAAAGGTTTTTTTTCAGAATATCCTTATTTACTATTTTAAAATTTATAGATATGCTGTGAGAGAATCTACAACAAAAATTAAACTTTATAAAAACTTTAAGGAGAGACCAAATGCCTTGAAATTGAATTTTATGGCAGAAGGAATTTATGGTGGAACTCTTTTAGGTGTAAAGAGTACTACATATTTAAATTTGTATGATTGGGAAACTGGTTCTATCGTTAGAAGAATTGATGTTATTCCTAAAAGTGTGAGTTATATATATATATTTATTTATTTTAGTGTCGATATATAAATAAGAAAATGCGATTAAAATTCGTACTTTTATTATTATTATTATTATTATTGGTGTTCCATTTGTAGGTACATTGGTCGGATATTGGTGATCTTGTAACCATTGCCTGTGAAGACACTTTTTACGTTTTACGATTTAATCGCCAAGCTTACACACAATTCTTAGAAAGTGGTGGTGAAATTGGTGATGAAGGTGTTGAACAGGCTTTTGAGTTTGTAACAGAAATTCAAGAAAGGTATAGTTAAAAATTAATTTTTATTTATTTATTTTGGCAAATATATTTATTTTCTTTCATTTTTTTTTTTTTTTTTTTTAGTATCAAAACAGGAACGTGGGTTGGCGATTGTTTTATTTACACCAATACTGTCAATCGATTGAATTACCTCGTTGGTGCCCAGACATTTACTATTAGTCACTTTGATACGTAAGTAATATTTCTTATATTATTCGACAAAATTAATTATTAATATTATTTTATTATAGAAATATGTACTTATTGGGTTACATTCCAAAAGACAACCGTATATATTTGGCCGATAAGGTAACGTTTTTTTACACAGAGTCGTTTTATAACCCTTTGGGTTTATTAAAGTTCTATGAATACTTTAATACTCAATTTTTTAATAAATTGATTCAATTTATTAAGGATGTCAATGTATATAGTTATGCCCTTTCTTTAACCGTTATTGAATATCAAACTGCTATCCTTCGAAGTGATCTTGAGACAGCAGAACAATTGTTACCTACTGTGCCTTCTGACCAAAGGAATCGCATTGCAAGATTCTTAGAAAGCCAAGGTATTTTTTTTATTTTTGATAAAAAAAAAATAATAATAATGTTGAAGTATCAAAGATGTTAAGCAATTTGATGATTATAGACCTCAAAGAGCTTGCACTTGAAGTTTCAACTGATGTTGAGCATAAATTCGAGCTTGCCGTCCAACTCAATAAGCTCGATGCTGCTGTTGAAATTGCACGTGAAGTGAATACTGAAACAAAGTGGAAGGCTGTTGGTGATTCCGCTTTAAGTGCTTGGAAGGTAGGTAATTTCCCTTGTCTTTTCGGGTTGTTATTATTTTCAAGTATTTTAATCGTTTAATTGCCAAATAGTTTTCACTTGCTGAAGAATGTCTCAAAAAAGCTAAAGATTCAAGTGGCTTACTTTTGTTGTATACTGCCTCTGGTAATGCCAAAGGTATAAAGGAGTTGGCTGAATCAGCTGGTAAGCTCAACGTATTATAAAATGTTTATACTAATTCATAAATTAATCATGATTTAATGTTTATTAAGTTGCGGATGGAAAGAATAACGTGGCGCTTGCATGTTTTTTGCAACTCGGTCAGGTTGAAGATTGTATAAGTATACTCATAAAAACCGATCGTATCCCAGAAGCAGCAATGTTTGCGCGAACATATCTTCCAAGGTAAACATTTTATAAATTAATGATTGACATATGGGGGGGTTCATAAACCTATTAATTCTGCATTTTACAGTCATGTTTCAAGAGTCGTTAAATTATGGAAAGAAAGTCTTGAAAAACAAAACAAGAAAAAAGCAGCCGAAGCTTTGGCAGATCCAGCAGATTACGAAAATTTATTCCCGGATTTTAAATATGTAAGTTCTGTATTTACTAAGAAAAAATTCATTTAGTTCATCATATTAATTTATGTGTACAGGCGCTTATTGCCGAAGAACTTTCCAAGAAAGCTCGAAATACTGCCATTCCTGCTACATCATACACAGAATACAAAGATTCGCTCGATCAAGATATTATCGCTGGTATATAAAGATCCCGAAAATGCTTACCCAGGGTTAATTAAATATTAATAAATTGTTTTCTTATTATAATAGAAGTAAAAGGGAAATATCCTGAAGGAGTTTTGCCATCCAACTTATCATCTCCTTTACATAGTCGTCTTGTGAACAGTATAGCAAGGAAAAATGTGAATGGCGAAATGGATGACGATGTATGTGGTTTATAATTGAACACGATTAAACATAACATTTAGTTACATTCATTCATTCATTTATTTATTTTCTTAGGTTCTTTCGTCGGTAGCGTCCGTTGATGATGATCGCACAAGTGTTGCTGATAATATGAGCCTTTTGAGTATGGAAGGTAAAGTATTTATTTAGATTTCATTTTACTTTCTTGTCTTTCTGTCGATGTATTTTAACTTTTATTATTATATTTAGTAAACACGACCGGTACCGGATCAGTTCGTGTAAGTATAATTTGACATCTTTTAACTATCTCTGATTACAACTTTTATAAAAAGAAAATTAAATTTTTTTTTTTGTTTTATTGATTAGGGAGATGTTGACTTTGATGATGCTGCGTCATTTGCTACATCTGAACACGAACGTCCGAGTGACAATTTAGGTTTCGAAGAGAAGGAATTGGAAAGTTAATAATTAAGCTTATGAAAATAATAATTATATAATAGCAATTTGTATTTTTTTTTTTTTGAATAATAATTTTAATTTGAAAATTATTTGGGTTTTATTTATTATTTTAACTATTATTTTATTTATTTATATGAATTTTTTGGGATCATAATTACATTTATGTATTATAATGAGATACATATTAGAGACAAAAAAAAAAAAGAAGAAAAAAAATCCAAAATAAAGTCTAGACAATTATTATTTTGAAATATATATATAAAAAAAAAAAAAATTTCAATAAAAAATTTTGTAGCATTAGGTAATGATTGGTATGAACAATATTACAAGTGTCCGATTGAATAAATCTAAATATATAAATAATCCAATAATTATATTTCTAAAAAACATCTCTAGCAGGTTCCCTACCATTAATAGGAACGTCATTAGCATGCAAGCCCATTTGGATTGAAGAAATTTTTTCTAATAATTTTTTGAATGCATTCATAACGATATCTTCAGGTTTCATAGAACCAATTGTCTAAACAAAATAAAAATAATGAGTATTTAGATGATCATTATTAAATTTGTTACATTTGTTAAAACCAACCTCGATTTCAAAATAAAATCTATTTGGTTTTGCAGTAAAATCAAAAACTAGAAAACGAAAATTAATTCCATAAAGAAATGAGTAAATAAATCTTAAATAATCCAATAGTAAAAGGTAAATTAATTACTTTCGTCATCCAAAGGAGGAAAATCATCTGTAGCATTTTTACTTGGTGGCCTATAAAATAGGAAATGTTATAAAAATATTAAAAAAAATATTATTAAATCAATGATAGTATAATGAAGTTTTGCTTAGATAACCATACCATTCCTTTTTTTCATCATCCTCTTTCCAATAATGTGTGTGTCTAAGTTTATTAAAAGGGTCATACTCAAAAGCTACTGCAGCACATGGGCTCCATTTAGCATGTTCCTTTGCCACTCCCTAGAACAAGAATATTTTGTTAAAGAAATTTTAAATAATTAAGTCGAATAAAAAAAAAAAAAGTATATAAACCTTTTTGGCAATGCATTTAACTTTAATTTCTTGTCCTTTACGAAGTTTTGCAATTAAAATACCCACATCTTTTGGCCCCTCTGAAATCGGTGTAAAACGAGGATCGTGGCTGACAAGATCTTTGCTAGTTACATCCTTTGTTGTATCTTCTTCGGTGCATTTAACATGTAGGTTCAATTCCACACTACATTCTTTACATGCTCCACTGCAATTACAATCCTTTTAAAGGATTGACGTAAGTATGAAGCTAAAATAAAAATTAAATTAAAGTGAATAATACATACCCGAGGATATTTGATTTTATCGGCCTCAGTACTATCTAATGGTATTAATCCTAACCTATGGGCAATAAATTCATCAGCCAAAACAGACGTATTGAGATCGAATTGGACCATATCAATAGCTAATAAATGAACAAGCAATTAAAATAATAAATTCCATTTTGTAAAAACAGACATTCATATACCTATTGTTGCAACTTCGGATATCATTATACGCCTCAAGGCGTTTGCCATGCTAAAATCAAATAGAGAATTAAAATTAATGATAGTCATCTTTGAAAACGTTTGAAAATGTTTTACATTATTACCTCAAATCTGTGTTTGTAAGTATAAACCTGATACGTTCCCCGGTTAGTTCTTGAATTCTAATCTCTGGCTTATTCGCGGGACCAAACAAATCCATTTTATCTTATAAATAAAGCAAAGAGTTTTTAAAACACGAAAAATGGACCGGCTAAACGCGTTTGACCTTTTTTTTTGTGCTATATAATCTAAAAGGATGTTGACTGACCCCGTACCAGGGACGATGTTAGGCGGCGAAATTTCTCCCCATATTTCACTAGATACGTTACACGAATTTTCTCCTACGTCATTGCCTATAATAAATATAATTATTATATACAGTAATAACGATAATAAATAATATAATAAAAAATTGAGAAAAAAATTATAAAATATTAGAAAATTTAACATCTAATTTAAACATTTACAAGATAATTTATATTGCATATAATTATAATATATTTTATTATATTTTTATTAATAATAGTTAAAGTTTTAAATAATTTAATTCAATTTAAAGTATAAATTGAATTGTAAATTGTTTAAAATCTAAACTAAACTGAAAATTTTAAATTATCTGAAAATTTTGATTTGGTTTAATTAAAATAAAATTTATCATTTATTTGAAATAAAAGATTTAATCATTTCAATTAAATAATGATTTTATCATTTAATATTTTTGATCATTTTAATTAAATAATAACTTTATTGTTTAATTAAAATAATATATTTAATTATTATTAAACAATATTTTATTATTTGATTAAAATAATACTTTTATCATTTATTTAAAATGATATATTTTATTTTTCTAACCAAATGATATTTTTATTATTTATTTAATATAATTATACTTAATCAAATGATATTTTGATCATTTAATTTTGATTATTGTAATTAAATAATACTTTATTATTCAATTAAAATAATATTTTTATTATTCAATTAGTTGATCACTCTAATTAAATAATAATATCATTTAATTAAAATAATATTTTTCATTCTAATTAAAATTTTCAAATTATTTAAAATTTTCAGTTTAAATTAAAATTATAATTTTTACTTGAAGAAGATCTTATTTATAGTCAATTGATATCTGATTGTCATAATCAGATAAAATATATTAAAATAAAATAAAATTCAAGAGAAATATAATATAACTGATATTTTGTATTTTAAATCATAAAATTTATACTAAAAACATTTAATTTATTTTTACAAATGATATTTTCTATTAATCAGATTAATAGCTAAATATTTTTTTATATTTTGTTAGATTAAAATTTGATAATTTACTGATATAAATCAATCTAAAATATAGGATCTTTGCAATATAAAAGAAGAAATAATTAGAAAAAATCAATTTTACTTTTATATTAAATATAATTTTTAGGTTAAAATATATTTAGATTTAATATTAATTTAATTTTTAATTTTTTAACTTTTTTTCTTTTCTATTATAAAGATTTCATATGATAAATTGATATTATACATTTATGATTTTTCAAGTAAAATTCAGTATCTTATAATTTGATATTTCTTTACTAAAATAATATTGAATATTTAGAGAAATTATTAAAATAAAGTTATTTATAAATAATTTTATTTATATTATTATAATAAATCATTATAATAAATTATTTTTGATTTACTTTAATCTTATATTAATTTAATATATAATTTAAATATTATTTTTGATTTACTTTAAATTTGTATTGATTTAATATAAGTAGGGTAATTTTGGGGGTTCTGGGGTCAAAATCGAAAAAAGATATTCAGAAAGATCCCAATCATAGGCCAGAAGCTCTTCTAACTATATGAATCCATAATATAGAATTCAGGTCTAAAATTTACATCAACGCTCAATTTCGTTATCAATCTTCTTGCTATAAAATTTGAGCTTCAGAAGCTAAAATCAACCAATTTGATATATCCTTTCTAGTGCGATTTTAAACCCACCAAAGATATCAAAAAAATTATACCATTCTATTTGCCTTTGAAACGACGCGAGATTGGCAAGAACCAAAGGTTCGAAGTCAATCTCGTGGAGTCTCTGCAAACCTTCTATGTATACTAAT